TCTTTTTTACATATGAGTGCACCTGTAAAAGTAACATATGAATATCAGGACATAATTTTAATCAAAATTTCTATTATAATTGCCTCAAGTACCTTAGGACTAAATTTTCTGTTATGACATGAGCAATCGTTGAATAAACTCTGACATAAGAAAATATGCCTCCAGGTTACTTCCCCAGTGCACATTTTCTGTCCCTCCCAGATATTCTGTTAACGAATTTGAGAAATGGAAGTGGCATCTTATGAAAGAATAGGCTTATTTAGTCGGTTTTCTTTATAGTACACAATTCCTCTTCTGAACAAAAAACTACCAAATCATTGATGTTAGAAAGTCTGTTGTTCAACACTACTTTTGCAATACCAACTGGCATTATATCTGAGGTTTTGATACTAAATTATATTTCCCAATATATATTGGGTTTTGTTTTTAGCCAGTGAAACAATCATCTTTGGGCATCCTTTGCTTTGACAGAACCATACTATAAAAGGTATGATGCTATCAGTTTTAGTATAACAACACTAAATAGGAGCTTTATTTGGTGTCCTCTAGTAACTTGTTGACTTTTTTTTGTTCTTCACTCTTTGGCCTTCCTCTTTGTCATGTTTGTTTTTTCTCTCTTTTTCTTTTCCATACATTTATCTTTCTCAGTTCTGCAATTCCCTAGAACTACTGATTTTTCTTTATATTTGGGGCATTTTACATATGTTAGTCATTTGTTGTTTGCCCATTTCTTTATCCCTAAAATTGTTTTTCCTAGGTCCTACTTTTACTTCACTACCAAATACTGGCCATATGTGAACAATTAATAGCCTTGTACCTTCTTACAAACACACTTTCAAGGCCTCTGCTCTCTGCCTTATACTCCTTCATACATCAGCCTTACTCTAGGGTCATGATTAGTTCATTCTATACAGTACAAATACTGTTTTTTCCTGTCTATGTCTTATTAAGAATAAGCATAACAACACAATTCATAAAATTAAGGAAGACTAAAATGAATGAAGCAAGATACAGAAGAAATTCTTTACTATCAAAGAAATTCTTTACTATAAGGATAACTGGAGGCATTGGAGGCACTGGAACAGGTTGCCCAGAGAAGCTGTGGATGCCCCATCTCTGGCAGTGTTCAAGACCGGGTTGGATGGGGTCTTGAGCAACCTGGTCTAGTGGAAGATTTCCCTGCCCATGGCAGGGGGGTTGGAACTAGATGGTCGGTAAGGTCATTTCCAACCCAAATCATTCTATGATTCTGTGGATCTAAGATCCAACTGGCCACTAGACAAGTCCTGAGGCCTTTACTGTTACCTTGACACCTAAGTAGTGGCTCGATTCTAGCAATGGCAATGCTAGAATCTGGGCTTCAGGGCTGTGGTGGTGATAGTGGGGACATTACACCACTGCTTGACTCTCTTCACTTAAATAGTAAATCAACCAGATCAATCTGCTTGCCCAGATCTGAGGAGTCTTGAGGCAGGAGGGAAAATGTGTTAAATCTAGAGTGATGTTTTTGAAGATGTTTATACAACTTTTATAAGAAGAATTTTTTTTCCCTTGTCAGTTTTATAGCCAGGCAAAAAGTGGAATTGAATACGTTATTTGCTCTTGTAGCAGTAGAGCAGCAACTTACACCCAGTTATACAGGTAACCTTATGAACCTCTAAGAACAGGACATACACATATCACATGATGACGATTCTACAGAGCCCAGCTGCCTCAGGGTGGCTGTCACAGGATCGTATCTGGCTCAAAGAATTCTCTTGATGTTTTCCCCAGAAAGACACATAGAGGGCTACAGGATGAGCATATTTATTCTGCAAGTCTTCTAACAATCCATGGGTGCTTTACATTATGTCTGCATACCAGAAGGCAGGTAATGTTGACCATTAACCACCTTGTACTGAACCTAATTACTTAGTTTTGATTAAAGCACACAATGAATCCAAAAGCATTCAATCCTTATTTGCATGCATGAGAAGTAACTAGAATTTCACTGGCATTTTATTCTAGTACTGATCACCATCAGATTTAGAAGTTTATATTAAATATTTTATTTAAATTTTTGTCTTCAACTTCGAGCTATTGCATCTCATTACCTTTTCTACATGAAATGAAAAATCCTCTTGCTACCCAAGTATTTTCTCTTTGTAAAGATATTTACACACTGTAATCAAGTCACTTCTTGTTTTTGTTTCTTCTAAATGAAACAGATGGAGCTCTTTAAGCCTTTGCCGACAGCATGCTTTCTTCAGTTGTTGAATAAATTGTGTAGCTTTTCCTGCATGCTTCCCACTTTTTTTTTAAATATGGAACATTGTAATCAATGTTTTATGCAGAGGTACTTTACACATCAATATTCCTTTTTTGTTTTATTTAAATACATCTGAGAATTATTTTTTTCTCACAGCACTGCAATGAGGCTCACATGCTGAGATCTTCAGCAGTCCTTTTCAGATTACTTTTTTTGCTTCCTCACATACAGTTCAGCTGCAGTTCAGTAGCTATAACCTGCACATTTTTTTCTGTGCTTGTATCTGGCAACTGCAAGTGACCAGAAGTGACCTGCAGTACATTAAAAAATGTACTGTTCAGCTAAACAAAAGTTATCACAAGATTTCAGTTGATGCATAGGCTTCCTCTCCTGTGGAAGGGAGATAAGGAGAAGATGTGAGAGTGGAAATGAAGAGCCTATTTAAAAGTCAGTGTTGAACTAATAGAGTAAGGGGTTTTCACATTTACCCACAGGACAAGAGACTACGGGAAGTATGAAATGGGTCATCTGTCTCATTATGTTTTTTTCATGAGAGGGACTTGAGGGGTGAATTCAGATTGAATGTGCCAAAAGCTGTACTGTTTTCTTTGTAAGAGTAGGACTTCCCATTTATCCTTATGTAATTTTAACCATGTGTATTTATGGTGTGCATGAAGAACGTTTTTTTCTCTGCCTGCTAGAGTTAGTACTTTTATCCTCTGTTTCTCTTGCCTACTGCATGCCTGAATTCACATCTATGACTATTCTATTCATATGACTAAAGCAGAAACGTGTTTTGATGGAGAAGTAGAGTGGAGACACAGGTTTGGATAGAAGCACTACGTTCCAAAGTCAGAGCTCGGTTGTTACACACCAAGTAACTTAGATCTTTACCATAAGGCAAAGCAAGTTTCCAGATAATCCAACTCATTACACAAACATAATTCTCTGGACATTCTTCTGTGTTATAAACAGTGTGTATGCCCTGTAAATGATATAATCACAACACTAGAATGAAACACTAGCTTTAATCTATTCCATGCTTATCCCAGCAGAAAACATATAATATACTGTGTTGTTACCCACCTATGTATCTTCTCAAAGAAGTCCAACATATTCCTTATTTTCCTCAGGCAACCTTTCCAATGTGATATTATACTAACCATTAAGAGGAGTTCCTTATCATCTAATCTTTCACTGCAGTTTAAATGCGTTACTTCTTATCCTGTCTGCTGCTAACACAGAGAACAGATGACTTTTGCAAAAGTACTTTCTTATTTTATGATTGTCATCAAATTTCTATTTATATTTTCCTTATTTAGACTTTACAACCTCATTCATTTTGTTCATCCTAAGAAGTCATGCCTTTAAACTCTTTGTCATGCCTGTCATACTCATATGGACCATCACTTAGTCCACATTTTTCTTGAATGCAAGTCACTGCACAATGCAAAACACTCCAAATGCAGTTTTACTCCAGCTACGTAAGAATGGAAGGATTACTTTATGATTCTAACTGGATATGTTCCTTTTTATATATGCCAGCATACTATGTAATTTGAAGCAAAATTCTGGTGTTTGTTCCTACTTAACTTGTGATTTTCTGTATGGTATCTTCTACTTATTCTGATTGGATTACATTTATTATTTCAAACACAATCTATTTATAAAGACTTCTAATCTTTTTGTCTTGCCATCAGTAAGCTTACTTTGTTGTCTGCCATCCAGACTGTTGAAAAAAATTTAGTGGAACTAAATTGGAAGTAGACTTCTTTCAAAATCACCCTCCTCTCCTCTCCCTTTTCATGGATAGCTCTCACCCAAGTTCTTCACATTTCTTTCTTTGTAGTCAGAGAAAGTACTTCTCCCTTTTACTTTGAATCAGATCCCAGAAAATCTCTGTTTGTAGTCACCTTTTCCGCCATTGCATGAAAAAAATTGACAGTAGCACATTCAAATATCCTTGAATTTCTGATTAATGATTTCTTTCAAAAATTATGGATTTGTAGTTAAATACTCTATCAGTTCAATTCCTGTGTACTTAAGGATTCTGCTATTTCTTTTATTTATTTAAAATATTAAAAACAAAACCAAACCGAAACAATAGAAAAACACACAAGCTCTAAATTAATGCACAATAGAGAGATGAGGGACTGGATTTTTTTTTGGTATATCCAATGAGTTAATTGTTTTTATAAGCCACCTATTACATTGTCTTCTAAATATCCCTCTCTGTCTTCTTTATGTTCTCCTATATTTTTGTTGCTTCACATTTGAATTAATTTGGATTACAGTTTTATTAAATCTCTTTTAAAGCAGAAATATGAAGAAACAGCTGAGTGAATTGTGATTTTCATTTTGGATTTGAGAAATGGCTTCATTCATCTAAACATGGAAGCAACCTTGAGAAATATTTTTTCTTACTATTGTTACTGAGGTTATTAAATCTCTTAAACAGGTTTTTAAATGTGGCATGTAGCCCTAGTAATTATGGTGTTGAGAGGCAATGCTAGAATACACAAGGAATGTATTTGCAAATGCTGTTCATACTTATTACTTTAAAATATTTAATTTGTTAACTATCAGCTATGATCTATGAATATCTCTACTTTTAGACCCGCCAAGCAGAAATAAAACAGTGTTTCCAATCCGGAAAATTTAAATTATGCAGTTGTCACTTGCACTGTGAAGTAGCTTTTCTGCTTTCTCAGCATGATTTATAGTTTTAATGTTTAATTTTCTTTTCTGTCAGACAAAAACTGTTCCACAGATATTGATGAATGTTCCCTCAAGCCCTGCAAAAATGGAGGCCATTGCCATGATTTGATTGGTGAATTTTACTGTAGCTGTTTGCCAGGTAAGAAGTCACATGATATTTATTTGAGAAATGTTCTGTAGTATTCAAGAAAGAAATAGAGTTTTTCATAAGAATACAACTAAGTAGTAATTTATTTTACTTGAAAAGAGAGGACTGAGTAGTTATGCTTTAAGCATATGCTACAATTGCTATTCAGATGGTGTTAGCAGAATTTGTTTCCAGAATATAAATTGTGTACCAGAAGTCCTGGCTTCCAAACTGAGGAACAGAGAGTCTTAGAAATCAAAGAACTCTGTCAGTGGTATTCATCTCATAACCTTTGAGCAATTCTGAATTTATAAATATTTGCAAAAGTTAATTTTCTTCCTACCATGGAGGTATCATGACTTTGTTTCCATTTTTTCTACTAGCAAAAGTTATTTTTAAAATTTCAGAAAAAAAATTGTGGACAAATTATACACTAGTTGTCGTAAGGTTTGCTGTGGTAGATTGACCCTGGCTGGAAGCTGGGTGCAGTCAGTTTATCAGACATTGTTTCTGCCACTCCTTCTTCCTCAGGGGGAGGACTCCTCACACTCTTCCCCTGCTCCAGTTTGGGATCACTCCCACAGGAGACAGTTCTCCAATGTGAGTCCTTTACATGGGCTGCAGTTCTTGACAAACTGCTCCATCATGGGTTCCCCCCCAGGGTCACAAGTCCTGCCAGGTAACCTATTCCAGCATGGGTTCCTGTCTCCTTGGGGCCACAGATCCTGCTGGAAGCCTTATCTAGTCCAGGCTTCCCATGAGGTCACAGCCTCCTTTGGGCATCCACCTGCTTTGTCATGGGGTCCTCCATGGACTGCAGGGGGATCTTTGCTTCTCCGTGGACCTCCATGGGCTGTAGGAGAATCTCTGCCCTGCAGCACCTCCACTCTCTCCTTCTCCTCTAACTTTGGTGTCTAAAGAGTTGTTTCTCTCACATATTCTTATGTTGTTGCATGGCTGCAACTTCTCAGTTGGGTTTTTTTACCCCATCTTAACTTTGTTATCCCAGAGGTGCTACCACTGTTCCTGATGACCTCGGCCTTGGCCAGCAGTGGGTCCATCATGGAGCTTGCTGACATTGTCTCCATCAGACATCTGGGAAACTTCTGGCAGCTTTAAATTTAAATATGTGATATTTATATAGTATGGTTAATTATTGATTCCCCCCCCCTCGCTTTCTTTATTGTGGATCAACTGGTTATGAGGCGAATGGAAAATAGCAAGCAAAACATGAATTGATAGTACTTTTTCAGTTGCAGTTTTTTAATTCTCTTAGGTCATGTAAGCATTGCATTGCATTAAACCTTGTTCTATAATGTCAAGTTAGCAATGTAAGAGTACAGTGATCAAACTTTTATTTAGACAGAAATATTTACTTCAAATGGATAAGAAAAAGAAGTGTTTTATAATTATTATGTCCCCATAAGAGCTATACGTGTTTTTATGCAAGAGATTTTAAAATGTATACAAGCTATTTCAAGTCTAAGGTACAAATAACTTGAAAGTTATTGATGTGTGACACATAGAAACTCACAGCCATCACTGTCACTAAATAATGGTGTATGGACATGAAAATACATTGAATATATACATAAATACTTATAGATAATATTATATATAGAAGTGTGTGTATGTGTGTATTGTACATATATGTATATATGCATACAATTTTTTAAGACCTGAGAATCTCACAGTAGATATTCAGGATGCAAAATATGAAAGGGATTTTTTATTATTATTAATTACTTTGGCTAATTTTTAAGACTGAATTCTTAAGTGTTGTAGTAGGTTAGTTTTACTTTTTCAGTTACAAATGCTGTGACTATAGTTCATTAGTCTTTCCATTGTGGATAAAACAAGTGTCACATCTCATTTTGTCTGCTGAAATCACAAACACAACAATGAGTATGAAAACATCTGTCTGTTTTACTTAAAAAGCAAGATCTTATTCATGAAAGACTGTAAGAAGTGCACATATGAAATCTCAGACTACAAACATTTTCTATTAATATTTTTGAACACTTGTTAGATACAGTCTTTGTGAAGAATTAACCCATCTACAAAATAAAGGATGAAAATTCATTATTTAGACAGTATTTAGGGATTACAGGAAGGCAGTAGAACACCTGAAGGGCAGCACAAAGGGATTCCAACTAGTAACTCAACTTTGTTAGGAACCCAGCTCTATGCAAACACATGCAGCGTGGGGAATATACAAGAGGAGCTGGAGATGTGTGCATGCCTGCATGGCTATGGTATTATTGACATCACAGAGACCTAGTGGAATAAATCCTATGACTGGAGTGTTGGAATGGAAGGATACAGGCTCTTTAGGAAGGATAGACACAGCAGATGAAGAGGCAGTGTTTACCCTCTCTGTCAATGACCAGTTGGAGTGCCAGGAGCTCTGTGGATGGATGAGAGGTTGTAAGAGACTGAAATGGTTTACAGATTAAACATGAAGATCACCAAAGCCCAGTCCCCAGCTGAACATGCCTCCTGGATTTCAGGGAGCTGGACTGTGAGTTAAGCCTCCTGAGAGGAACTTGAGATAAGATAAAGGTGGTGGTACTATTGTCTAGTCATCTCAGGTTTAAGGTGAAGTAGACAAGGCTGGAAGGAGGCCATAGCCTGCAAACTTATTTGCATACTGTCCCCCTCCTGTGAGAGACTGGACTGCCTCTCTTTTTCTGCTCTTAAACAGTTCTAGGCTGGATGCATAATTTTTGTCTTTTACAAAACATTACATCTACTACACAGCTTCTTTCCCATCCCTGTTTGTTCCTCAGTGATGTATTATCCGTGCTACATCTAACTGAATACATAAATATTTTTCTTTTCAGTGGGATTAGTGGATGATTAGCATGATTGCTAAAGTAGACTGATTCTGAAGCAGAAAATCCTATCAGTTGAGATGCTTGGATTGATGGATTCAACCTAAAATCAATTTTCCTTCAACTTGATGCACTGAATCAAAGGAGCAGTGCTTCTGATTAAGAGTAAACTCACGCACAGAAAAATTGTAAATCAAATTCTTCCTTTTTTGGAAGGTGGTGTTGTTATTAAAGTTTACTGTACCATGAAATAAGACTGTACTTTCTTTCAAACCTTTCTGGCAACCCTTATTATGAAGTAGACACTTATACATGAAAGTTTTTACTCCAGGAAGAGACCTTACAAAAAGTGTTCATGCTGTGACTCAAAAAATAAAGGGAATAATCAAGATTACAGATGGGAAATGCTTACAGAATCATTCAGTTCTTCATGCTGCCACTGCACAATCATGCTCAATATAAACATTGTAATGATTTTTTTTTGTTTGATTTCAAAGTTGCTTGGTAAGAAAGTGTAGCATTTTTTACATGCTGCTCCACTTGCCAAAAAAATTGCCTGATGCCTAGTTTAAAATTCCAATTATCAATTTCTTGGTCCAAGTCACAATTCACTTATACAATTTGTAAGTCATATGTTTTTCTTATACCTGACATCCTAACTTGTACTAGAATAGCATCTAATCAGTTGTAGAACGTTTGTTCAGCAAACTAACATAGAAGATACTTTGAGTATTCATATAGCAAAAGAGTGTGGAACTGCTTGTAGCAGTACTTAGTGGAATCAATATTTTAGGGAAATAGAGGTCAATACGTTCCCATGATGTTAGCTCTTTTTCAAAGTCTTAATATTGAAACTTCTGTGGGCAGTCACATCCATGAGGTATCAGCATTGACTCTTCATCCAGGATAAGGGCTGAGGCCACTTAAAGTCAGAGATGTTGGAGAGGCAGAGGTTATACAGCTGCATCCCCAGGACCTGCCACTTAACTGACTCCTGAAAAAGCAGTATCTGGAAGCAGTGAATGACATGAAAAATCATTAGGGGTCCTTCCCAGGAGTTCTCCTTACGCTTATAGCTCATCCATAGCATCACTATTTCTCTGATATTCATGAAATGTTAAGTATATTTTTAGTAACTCTAGTAATTCTTCTGTGTTTTTGAGATTATTGGTATATTTAGATATTTTTCTGATAGCAATCTTCCTGAGCGTGTCCAATCATTTGCTACCATTGAGGATCTGATTGTTTACTTCACTTTTTCATTGAATCTTTTACAAAAATAGTTAAACTTTAACTGTTTGTTGCATTATGTGTAACAGTTTAGTCACAGAAGACCTAGCAAAAAAAGGCAACAATTCTAAAATTGGCACAAGTTGAACACTCCCTTTTATAAAAAAAAAATCAAAAATATTCTAAAATATTTTTAACATAAGGAAGTAGAAAAAATAATCTTCCAAGGCCATTCTTTTTCTTTTCACACTGAAACATAATGGTAAACCTGTCCTTCCTCTCTCCTCTCCAGTAACATTTACAGCACATTATTTAAGCCTGGTACAGGAAAAGGTGACATTTACTTTATTTTCCTGAAATGTATGAAATGACATATTAAAAACAATATTATAGAATCATAGAATCATAGAATCGATTGGGTTGGAAAAGACCTCTGAGATCATCGAGTCCAACCCTTGGTCCAAATCCAGTCCATTTACTAGATCATGGCACTCAGTGCCACGTCCAATCTGTGTTTAAAAATCTCCAGGGATGGTGAATCCACCACCTCTCTGGGCAGCCCATTCCAATGCCTGATTACTCTCTCTGTAAAAAATTTTCTCCTGATATCCAACTTAAATTTCCCCTGGTGGAGCTTAAGCCCGTGCCCCCTTGTCCTATTGCTGAGTGCCTGAGAGAAGAGACCAACCCCCACCTGGCTAGAACTTCCCTTCAGGTAGTTATAGACGGTGATGAGGTCACCTCTGAGCCTCCTCTTCTCCAGGCTAAACAACCCCAGCTCCCTCAGCCTCTCCCCATAGGACTTATGTCTTCATGAAATTTATACCTGACTATAGGAGGGTGGTTACTAGAATTTTGTGAAAGTGTCAGCAAAGACATCAAAAAGAAATTACATATGATAATGCAACAGAGTACTACTGATCAGTCCTCCTAGCCTCATTCTAAGAG